GGCTTTCTTATATAATTCCTATATAAGTGCCCCCAAATAATTAAATATTCCTACATATTCATTGTCTGAGCCCATTAGCTCATCTCTCATCTATAAATAGGCTGGATAAACCGGGTCATGACTGTCTGGTTGGCAGCACTCGCTCCAATCATCTCTCCTCCCTGCAACTTAAGTTTCCTCTGGTCTCAGGCTCCGCCATGGTCATGAAACTTCAAGTAGGTAACAGCCCTACTTTCTCCAGTAGGTAACAGCCCTACTTTCCCCAGTAGGTAACAGCCCTACTGCCACAGTCATGACCATCTCCAGCCTAGTCTTACATGTATATTTCTTGGGGGTACTCGTGCATTTGTCGCCCCCCATTTGCCAAAAGATATTAGATGAAGTAGCATATTATCATTACATAATAAAGCTGTCAAACCTCATACCATTGTTGTTGTTTTCTTTAAAATACAGGGTTACTTCATAAAAAATAAAGTCATACAAGGTCAAACAAAAATTACATGACAGTTATGAAAGGTCACTCGTTAAAAGTTGATGTCATAAAAGGTTACAGGATAAGAAAATTGTCCTATAAGGTCAAACCATTTAAAAATTGTCCTATAAGGTCACATGATAAAATATTAATGTCAATTGATGTAAAACACAATTATGATAAGTTCATACAAGGTCACACAATATAAAAATCATAAATTACCATGTACATGAAAAATGGCTACAGTATATTTGTATGTTGCTGATATTGGCATTTCATACAATAAATTTGATTTGAACTTTTGGAGGAAAGATGAGTTTAACTATAATTGATGATTTTAACCAGGTGAGCTGATAATAGTTTATTGTTCAGGTGAGAGGATAATTGATGATTTCTATACAGGTGAGATGATGATGAGCCTCCTATGGTACTACCAGCCAGAACATACAGAGTCTGGTCGCAAACCCTACCATGCTGACTGTGAGGTGTTCGCCTCCAAACACAAGGACGAGAACAGCGTGGCCTGTATAGACGACAAGGGCTATGTACTGACATTTGCAGAATACTGTCGGTATGAATCAAAGCTTGTGTGATGTTCAATACACTTGTTTGTCTCTCTGTTTCATTTTTTCCCCCAAAAGGAACTTGGGCTCTTTATGTTTCTAAAAGGTTTGAAATTTTCCTCCAGATGATTATAAACGAAGATTTTCTTTCCATTATGGGTATCTTTATCTTTATATTGATATCAGTTATCTGACATGCTGTGTTGTGATAACTGATCTGACATGCTGTGTTGTTATAATTTATCTGACATGCTGTGTTGTTATAACTTATCTGACATGCTGTGTTGTTATAAGTTATCTGACATGCTGTGTTGTTATACGTTATTTGACATGCTGTGTTGTTATACGTTATCTGACATGCTGTGTTGTTATATGTTATCTGACATGCTGTGTTGATATAAGTTATCTGACATGCTGTGTTGTTATAACTTATCTGACATGCTGTGTTATAAGTTATCTGACATGCTGTGTTATAACTTATCTGACATGCTGTGTTGTCATAACCTATCTGACATGCTGTGTTATATCTTATCTGACATGCTGTGTTGTTACAAGTTATCTGACATGCTGTGTTATTATAACTTATCTGTCATGCTGTGTTGTTATAACTTATCTGACATGCTGTGTTGTTATAACTTATCTGACATGCCCTGTATTGTTGTTTTAGGTACCGAGCAGATCTTCAGAGACAGGAGAATGGAATCTCGCCTCAACCTAAAGTCGTGCCTAGTCCGGAGGATGAGTATGCCCGTAGTGGAAAGCTACCACCCCAGGGCTGTGACCCCAACAATGTCTACCTTTGTCGACAGGTGTATGACTTCAAACTCAAAAGAATACTCAAGAACCCCTCCTGACAATTAAACAAACCCTACAGAATGATGTACAATCTCAGGAAAGCTTCCCAACAATATCCTACATCTGGCAACATTCATATCCCAGATCTCTAATCACTGCACAGAACTTGTCACTTTTTCTCAGAAATTATTCTTGTACATGGGCTCTTGGCCTAGACTGTTTAAAACAGCTGGAAATTTTTTGCTTAAATTGGGTTCATTTAACTCTAACTAACGATCACTAGCCACCCACCACTGGGTTGCAGGTTCAAAGCCTACCTGGGGCAGTTGCCAGGTACTTACTGACTGTAGGTCGGTAAGTTTACTCCAGGTTCTTTGGTTTACTTTAAGCTTCCACCACTAAAACCTGGCAAATCTAAGACCATAGCTGTTAATATGACAAAGTCCAAAAGAAACACCAAACCAAATTGTAATATTAATAATAATAATAATTGGAGGTTCTTATATACCGCCTTATCACAACCTAGTTTGTAGGTCGTCTCAAAGCGGTTCACAAATTATTATCCGTGGTTATAGACTGGAACAAGCGGAGTAAAGTATCTTGCTCAAGGATACAACACATTGCCGTGCCGTGGCGCGAACCCGCAACCCTTCGGTCTCAAGCCCGGCGTCCTACCACTGGACTACCGTGCCTTCTAATGAAGATTGAGTATCGGTTTTTGTAAATTCTGGAATAAATCTATACACAGTCAAACCTTTGTTCCTAAAAGTGGACATGAATATGATAGACCCCTCATTCAGCCATTAAAAAATATATTTTCAAGAATGAATTATCAGCGATGTCATAAAAAAAAGTGTAGAAGACCAGAAAGGGGAGATAACAAGTACCGGTAGATAGTCTCCATTTAGCTGTAGTTCTCAACTTAACAATAATATGATACTCAAATGTTTTTCATTGAACAAACCTTTGTTTGCACCAATTTTAACCTAATAGTCCTCAGCTTGGTTGTTGTCAGCCTCATGGCCAGTAAAATCAGTGACCAGGGCTGTTTAAACATACAATTACTAACAAAAAAGTTCCCATCTTGTTTTTGCAATTTTCAAGTGCCATGGGTGCCAAATTATGTCGTTTATTATTCGATATTTTGTTAATAATTTGAATTTCTAGATTAAATATCAGCGGTACACAGCAATGGTTTAGTCATGCCAACCTTAAAGTGACCTTTATCAAATATTTTGTAATTGTTGATAAATAATTGCCTGTTATTTTTAAATATTTTTTTTAACAAAACAATGCATTCCTGACATTAATATCTTTGTTTTGTAAACTTGACTAGTAAATTATCTTCTTCCCCCATCCTACTTTCCTTGAGTACGAAGCTCATTTACTATTATAATATTGTTGGAATGCGGAACATTTGCTTTATGTTGTTTTAAAAACACTATCATAAATTTACCAAAAATTTGATCCTTAAATAAAGAAAAGGTTCCAAACATTTCTCTAACTCCTCGGTAAGCTACTGAGTTTATTCCTCGGTAAGCTGCTGAGTTTATTCCTTTGTAAGCTAGTGAGTTAATTCCTTGGTAAGCTACTGAGTTTATTCCTTGGTAAGCTACTGAGTTCATTCCTCAGTAAGCTGCGGAGTTTATTCCTTGGTAAGCTACTGAATTTATTCCTCGGTAAGCTACTGAGTTTATTCCTCGGTAAGCTACTGAGTTAATTCCTTGGTAAGCTACTTAGTTTATTCCTTGGTAAGCTACTGAATTTATTCCACGGTATGCTACTGAGTTTATTCCTCGGTAAGCTGCTGAGTTTATTCCTCTGTAAGCTACTGAGTTTATTCCTTGGTAAGCTGCTGAGTTTATTCCTCCGTAAGCTACTGAGTTTATTCCTTCGTAAGCTACTGAGTTCATTCCTCGGTAAGCTGGTGAGTTTATTCCTTGGTAAGCTAATGAGTTTATTCCTCGGTAAGCTGCTGAGTTTATTCCTTGGTAAGCTGCTGAGTTTATTCCTTGGTAAGCTACTGAGTTAATTCCTTGGTAAGCTACTGAGTTTATTCCTTGGTAAGCTGCTGAGTTTATTCCTCCGTAAGCTACTGAGTTTATTCCTTGGTAAGCTACTGAGTTCATTCCTCAGTAAGCTGCAGAGTTTATTCCTTGGTAAGCTACTGAATTTATTCCTCGGTAAGCTACTGAGTTTATTCCTCGGTAAGCTACTGAGTTCATTCCTCGGTAAGCTAGTGAGTTTATTCCTTGGTAAGCTAGTGAGTTTATTCCTTGGTAAGCTACTGAGTTTATTCCTCGGTAAGCTACTGAGTTCATTCCTCGGTAAGCTACTGAGTTTATTCCTTGGTAAACTACTGAGTTTATTCCTCTGTAAACTACTGAGTTTATTCCTTGGTAAGCTACTGAGTTTATTCCTTGGTAAGCTACTGAGTTAATTCCTTGGTAAGCTACTGAGTTAATTCCTTGGTAAGCTGCTGAGTTTATTCCTCCGTAAGCTGCTGAGTTTATTCCTTGGTAAGCTGCTGAGTTTATTCCTTGGTAAGCTAGTGAGTTTATTCCTTGGTAAGCTACTGAGTTAATTCCTTGGTAAACTACTGAGTTTATTCCTCGGTAAGCTACTGAGTTCATTCCTCGGTAAGCTACTGAGTTTATTCCTTGGTAAGCTACTGAGTTTATTCCTTGGTAAGCTACTGAGTTCATTCCTTGGTAAGCTAATGAGTTCATTCCTTGGTAAGCTAGTAAGTTTATTCCTTGGTAAACTACTGAGTTAATTCCTCTGTAAACTACTGAGTTCATTCTTTGGTAAGCTACTGAGTTTATTCCTCGGTAAGCTACTGAGTTTATTCCTTGGTAAGCTACTGAGTTCATTCCATTAATTATTTATGTCTGCCCTCACCTTTTTTTTTTAGATGTTTTTGTAGTTAAATAAGGTGTTAGCTGTAAATCCTTGTAGTGTTGATAATTGTCATGGATTCTCTTTCAGTCCTGAAAGCAGAGCCCATAAATATGAAACAATTCCCTTACTCGAACTCTTTCTGACATGTCAGATCTTTCTTCGTAACAAGAAAGTTGTCTGTCAATATAGAACTTACTTAGTATTGCGAGAATAGTTTTATGAATATGGGGCCTGGAAACTTAAGTTGACAATAATGTCCATTCTGCCCACTGTTATCCTCTTTACTTTTCTTGTCTACTACCAATCATAGCAGACATTATCCAGTGTTACAGTATCCAGTGTTACATTATCCAGTGTTACAGTATCCAGTGTTACAGTATCCAGTGTTACAGTATCCAGTGTTACATTATCCAGTGTTACAGTATCCAGTGTTACAGTATCCAGTGTTACAGTATCCAGTGTTACAGTATCCAGTGTTACAGTATCCAGTGTTACAGTATCCAGTGTTACAGTATCCAGTATTACAGTATCCAGTGTTACAGTATCCATTGTTATCCAGTGTTACAGTATCCAGTGTTACAGTATCCAGTATTACAGTATCCAGTGTTACAGTATCCAGTGTTACAGTATCCAGTGAGTTCATTACTACCTGATCCTTAATTGTCTTGGTGGATGTAGACCTGAGAAATGATTTAAACTGTTACGTAGGCCCCCAGATATTGTGCATCATTCAGTAGGGTTTGGATGTAAGGGATTTAACTTGTAATGATACATGTATAGATACAACATTGAGTGCAATAATTATGACATGCCTTTTACTTACATATTTTATTATTAACCATATATTGTTGTGTTTGTGCAAGTTTGGGTGGTATATAATGAACTGATACTGGTTGATGAATTTTTGTTTTACACTATTATTGTAAATACGGTCTAATATAAGTGACCAAGCTTTCACATACTTTATGTGGCAAATGATTGTCAATAAGTTCCTGTGTATAACCATATCACTGTTGTTTGATAATAATAACACACAAAATCAAAAAAAGCTGTTTTATTAGTACTTGTCCAAGCAAGACAGTGAAATAAAACGTAATATTATACCTGCCAAGTCTGCACATGCACAGGTCAATCTTCTGAACACCACCCCCCCCCCCCCCCCCCCTCCTATGACCTGTGTAGCTTGTAATTAAAATTTAGAACCTCATGAATTAATACTGCTCATCCCAGCATTAAAAATGATAACGATTCAACTTTATAAAGTTTTAAAACCTAAAATACTCCTTTTAAAAGAATAAAAGTAAATTTTGATTTTTGAATGTCATTCTACTGGTTTTGATGACTTTGAAAATTTTACATACTGAAATATTAAGCTGCAATTAGAAGGTTTGCATTTTGACCCAAACTGACCCTTGATTGTTGAGAACTTGGCAGGTATGTTTGTTGGAAACATTTTTGATTGAACGTGTTTGTGGGTAAATGTGGGTCACTAAGTGAGGTGTAGAAGTTGATCATCCCCCATTGAGCCATTTATTTGTCCTATCTACTGCAGTAGATACTTGCCTTACACACTGAAATAGTTTTATTTTTGTGATGCACCTATTTCAATATTTATAAATATTTTATGTGAACACAAGAGTTCGAAAATTGTATGATAGATAAAAAAAATGTTGCCTACTGCATGTTGTATTGATATGATACTTATAACATGTAATGACCTACCATGTCCTGTTTGTTAGAGACCTGCTAAACTTTGGCAGGGTCAGACAACTCATGACTGGTCTTTTTGACTTACACACTAAGGAAGGATCGTCGTTGTTGGTATTTTTGTGTTGTTAGCCAAGGTGTTCAGTACAGAATGAATTTTACATTGAAGATAATTTATTATAATAATTGTATATTTAATTTTCTGATTTTATAGTTACTAACTTTCAAAAGGTTTGGAATTTTAGACATAGTTTGGGTGCAGGTGTATTCATGATCCAGACCTAGTTTAAGTGCAAGTAGGTCACTGCTGTAGATATAGCCTGGTTACGAGAGGGTTTTAACTCTTGATATAGTTTAGGTGCAAGAAAGGTTATACTCTTAATACATCGTAGTTTGGGTACATGTTATGGTCTTGTTTTAGTACACTGAAGGCAGTAAAGAAAATGTTGTCATTTAATGGTCTAGCATTTACTCCTACACTGTAAATTGAACGTCCTGGGTTATTAAATATATATTTGTCCACAGTCCAGAGATGCTGGCTGTTGTGAAAGTTGTACATAACATGGCATGTGTGTTGTGTATATATATATACACAAAATGTGAAAATGATGGTTTGATAACCTGTATAACATAGGAAATCCTGGTTCTGTTGGTTGACATTGTACATACCTGAACAGGTTAATGCATGCAAATGTGTAATATTAGAGAGTCTCCTGAAATACCTAGTCCCTTGTTGTAAATAACACAACGCTTTTGTCCTATTAAGTTTAAATGTATTTCCATTCCTTTTTTGAAGAAGAATATTGAAAGTATATATTTACTGTTAAGTATACGGAGTGTTTCCCAGTCTTTTTATCTTTCCTAGGTTCAAAAATATTTCCTCTGCATAATTTTCTAATAAAGCTTATCAAAGTTAAAAGTGTCACAAATCAAGTTATTTTCTTAAACCTGAATGGGAAGTCTTTGTTCTGATTTAATGAGGTGTGTAGACAATTTTCAAGGATGTTTGTAAGAGCTATCGACTGTACATGTTAACAGTCGATAAACAAGGGCTAAATTGATAAATGTTATTTCTTGTGGTGACAGGTGATATTGGTTTTATTACATACCTATAATTGTTTTCACCTGATTCATAATAAAACGAGGTTTAATATATTCTGTCAAAACTGGTCTCTGTACAACCTGGATTTTTGTCTAAAATGACCAACTTAGTTTCATCATTCAACAATGACAATATATATCAAATAGCTTACTCTCTACATACCCTAGATTCTCTATCAGTCTGAATTCCTAACCTGAAAGCAGAGCCCATAAATATGAAACGATTCCCTTGCTCGAACTCTTTCTGATATGTCAGATCTCTCTTCGTAACAAGAAAGTTGTCTGTCAATATAGAACTTACTTTGTATTGCGAGAACAGTTTTATGAATATGGGGCCTGGAAACTTAAGTTGACAATAATGTCCATTCTGCCCACCGTTATCCTCCTTACTTTTCTTGTCTACTACCAATCATAGCAGACATTATCCAGTGTTACAGTATCCAGTGATTTACAGGATTACAGTGTGTGATCTAGTCATTTACCAACAGTGTCAACTGTAAACTGAGATTTAATGTTTATGTACAACAGATAGCTTAAAAGGTTAAATATCAATCTTAGATACCACATTGGTTTACAGAATGGTTTGGGAACTTCCTTCCTTGTACTTGAGTATAATGTAAATGTTCTGTTTAACACCCTATTATACTGCACAAAGGCTAAATCTATTAGGATTTTTCTCTGTTCGGTTACTGTTTTTATTTAACCTTGCTTCATTTGTGTGTCACACCTTACACAGAATTCTGTGTGATGCGCCGTACAGAGATATTGTACTGTGTTGATGAATGCCTGGGATATTGTTTTAGGATTGTACATATAAGGTTGGTAGAGAGGAGGTGTGTAACCTCTGTCTACATGTAAATGGTGATATAAACTTGCGGTGTGCTGTGATCTATTTAACCCCAACCCTTTTCTCTTTAATGCTATCATTTGTTTTTGTTGTCTGTTATTGTATCCATAGTTTTATCTCAACCAATGTTTGTGATAGTGGAGAAATTGAAAAAAATGTTTCATCAAAATCATGTTGAGTATCTTTACTTTAAATTTTTGATAATTAAACATGTCAGTTTCTGCCATGATTTGTTATGAGTTTATAATCAGTACATGATTATGAACTTAATGAGGTGTACAATTGATATACAGAGCATTGCTGCTATACCCTACTAAACACCTGACTGAGTGTAATAATAGCTGTCAGGAATTTATACATCTGTACAGTAAAACAGGTTTACTAGTCCATGATCACTCATAAGGTCAAGAGCACCATCATGGTCAAATATATTATTTGCCATTGGCAATTTTATGAAATATTTTCTACAGATGTATATTTGTATTGCTGATAAAATACATCTTGTGGGTCAATACTTGGAGTCAGAAAAAAATTGTGGAACTCTTCATGATTATACAACTTGTGCCATGGTACCCTTAGTCTTAATGTGAATTCATGCTTAGAACAAAAGCCCCCACACACCAGTGTGAGGTTTTATCTTGTAAACATATTTTTTTCTGAAGAGAAGTAATTTATGGTTTGTGTTACTGCAGAGAAGGAATTTCCTCTGTTCCCCGGATTGCATTGATAATGTGTTCTGTCTTGGGGTCCATTTTGAACTTGTTTTTCTGTAGAGAAGTACTTTTCTCTGTCCTCAGGTTCATGATAAACATGTTTTATTGTAGAGAGTGAATTACCTAAGTCTCCTTGGGTTTGTTACAGACATACTGAACTGTAGTGAACTTATTTCCTGTGGCCCTTGGTGTTCATTATAAACATATTTACTGTGGTCCATTTTAAATGTCCATTTTAAATGTGATTTACTGTAGAAAAGTGATTTACTGTAGAAAAGTGATTTACTGTAGAAAAGTGATTTACTGTAGAAAAGCGACTCCTTATATACATAATAATAACACACATTTCTTATCGTCAGATGCTGTTGATCAAGTGCTTCTCTGGTTATGTGAATTAAAAGTCTTTTAAATACGTCAGGGTGTATGTATGATGATGTAAACATGTCTGGGTGTATGTATGGTGGGTGTGTGTATGGTGATGTAAACACATCTGGGTGTATGTATGGTGTGTGTGTGTATGGTGATATAAACACATCTGGGTGTATGTATGGTGTGTGTGTGTATTGTGATATAAACACGTCTGGGTGTATGTATGGTGATGTAAACACGTCTGGGTGTTTGTATGGGGATGTAAACACGTCTGGGTGTATGTATGGTGATATAAACACGTCTGGGTGTTTGTATGATGATGTTAACACGTCTGGGTGTATGTATGGTGATGTTAACACGTCTGGGTGTATGTATGGTGATGTAAACACGTCTGGGTGTTTGTATGGGGATGTAAACACGTCTGGGTGTATGTATGGTGATATAAACACGTCTGGGTGCATGTATGGTGATGTAAACACGTCTGGGCGTATGTATGGTGATGTAAACACGTCTGGGTGTATGTATGGTGATGTAAACACGTCTGGGTGTATGTTTGGTGATATACACACGTCTGGGTGTATGTATGGTGATGTAAACACGTCTGGGTGTATGTATGGTGATATAAACACGTCTGGGTGTATGTATGGTGATGTAAACACGTCTGGATGTATGATGTAGTACTACTGTTCTTTATATGGCAATTAACTATTAACATCTGTCAGAGGCAGAGAACTCATCTATGGTTAAGTTTTTTTAGAATTTTGTTCCTTGAGGGTATTGCTGCAGCTGATTGTATATTTTCTTTGTTTTTTTTCCTCTGTTTTCCAACCACATACAAGCATACCACACTGAAGTTGAAATCAATAATCCATCCTTTCACTAGGGGTGTCCCAAAATATAAGGTGTGTAATACTTTGAAGACAAGTCATCTCCAAAGCTGGGACTCTTTAAGCCAATTAACACTGTGAACAACCCATTGTATTGTGTGGAAGAAATGTAAGACAACCCATTGTATTGTGTGGAAGAAATGTAAGACAACCCGTTCTATTGTGTGGAAGAAATGTAAGACAACCCATTCTATTGTGTGGAAGAAATATAAGACAACCCGTTCTAGTGTGGAAGAAATATAAGACAACCCATTGTATTTGTGTTGGAAGAAATTTAATACAACCTGTTGTATTGTGTGGAAGAATTGTCATAAACTGATGTGTAAGAAAAGTCAACATACAAATGTATGGTATAATCTGATAAACTCAAATAATATTTGGTCCAAGTAAAACACTTCAGGTTTTGGAGTGTTTGAAATGCTAAGAATTATATTGCTGAGGATGGTTGGCACTAGGGGGAGTTTTGATGACGTAGGGTGTGTGTACGAGTTAGGTAGGGTGCTTACGGGTTAGGGTTGTTTTTGAGTAAGGAGAGGTGATTAAAAGTTATGAAGAGTGTTTATGACTTAAGACGTGTTTATGGGTTAATTGGGTATTATTGAGTTAGGAGAGATGTTTATGAGTTAGGAGGGATGGTTGTGCGTAAGGAAGGGGTGTTTGTTAATTAGGAAGGGTGTTCATGAGTTGGGAGGGGTGCGCTAGGAGGGGTGTTTGTTAGTTAGGAAGGAGGTTTATGAGTTAGGGGGGGTGATTGTGAGTTAATGAGTTTAGGAAGGTGTGAGTTCTGGGGTTTTGTGGGTTAGGAGATACGTATAGGAGTTTGGAGCCTTTATTAGTTAGGAAGGGTTGTCCAGGTTTATGATAACTCCTGTCGCTAGATCAGAGAGTGTATTGCCGTGTAGGGGAATTCTGTGGTAAGAATACTTAATGCTTCTGTATCAACAAGGAATGTTACTGTAACATGATCGATCCTCATCTCAGTCGATTCCTTAATGACTGAAAATATGGTGGTTTCTTTTATTAAAAGGAGAAGTGACAAGTCAGAAAGTGAATCAAAATGTATACGAAAAGCATTTTGTTGGAGGATAAAACCTTGCCACTGATCATGATAATAAATTTTAGTTTTGCTATATTTGCATTAAGCTTATGTCTGTTCCACATCTCACCGGTCAACTGTTAAATAGTCCAACACAAAGTACAGCAATGTTTTTTTATATGTCCAAATAAGGTATGGTTATTGACTTGCCACACCTTTGAATGTCCATATATATACATGTATATTAAAAATAATAGCCTATGGTTTGTGATGCCCATGTAAGGAATTTCCCATGGTTCGTCATGCCTGTGTAAGGAATTTCCCATGGGTTGTCACACTTTTGCATCCATTTCCATGTAATTACGGTACTGTTGTTGATTTGTCCTACTCTGTAATGTGCAATACCTCACTGTTCTCTTGTGGTACGGAATTATACCACTTACATTTGCATGGCTTTAACTCCTTGTGATAGAGTAACCTATAACATGAAATGTTCATGGGTATTTTCTTTTACAGTTTGAAGCAATAATGATTGTTTTGTATTACATTTAAACAGTAGTTCAGTATATCAGCTAAGTTTTGTATTTCTAGGTTCCACAGCAACCAGGAAAACCAAGAATATTTACTCATAACAAACATTTTATGTTATATTAGGTTGGACTTTTGAAGTGATCAGTGAACCTTTGACCTCCACAGAGTTGTGGTCAGTGCACCATTGCAAATTGACCTCCATGCAGCTGTGGTCAGTACACCATTGACCTCCATGGAGTTGTAGTCTGTGCACCATTGACCTCCACAGAGTTGTGGTTAGTGCACCATTGACCTCCAGTGAGTTGTGGTTAGTGCACCATTGACCTCCAGTGAGTTGTGGTCAGTGCACCATTGACCCCCAGTGAGTTGTGGTCAGTACACCATTGACCTCCAGTGAGTTGTGGTCAGTGCACCATTGACCTCCAGTGAGTTGTGGTTAATGCACCATTGACTTCCAGTGAGTTGTGGTCAGTGCACCATTGACCCCCAGTGAGTTGTGGTCAGTACACCATTGACCTCCACCCCCTTGTGGTCAGTGCACCATTGACCTCCAGTGAGTTGAGGTCAGTGCACCATTGACCTTCAGTGAGTTGTGGTCAGGGCACCATTGACCTCCAGTGAGTTGTGGTCAGTTCACCATTGACCTCCAGTGAGTTGTGGTCAGTGCACCATTGCCCTTCAGTGAGTTGTGGTCAGTGCACCATTGACCTGCAGTGAGTTGTGGTCAGTGCACCATTGACCTTCAGTGAGTTGTGGGCAGTGCACCATTGACCTCCAGTGAGTTGTGGTCAGAGCACCATTGACTTCCAGTGAGTTGTGGTCAGTGCACCATTGACTTCCAGTGAGTTGTGGTCAGTGCACCATTGACCTCCAGTGAGTTGTGGTCAGTGCACTATTGACCTTCAGTGAGTTGTGGTGAGTGCACCATTGACCTCCAGTGAGTTGTGGTCAGTGCACCATTGACCAGTGCATGACAGCTACTGCACCATTGACTATGGAGTTGAACTGTTTAAGTGGTGCGACAGAAAGCCTACACACAAGTATTATTATAACATATATTTTTTGCTTTTGCTCTGTCTCAATGGGATGTATGTCATTGATACAGTTTGTTGCCATGTGGTTAGACACCAATAAACGTACTACACATACTAAACATGTCTCGTCTTATTCTTTGTAATCTGTTATAGGTCATGACTGCATAATCAATATGAAAAGAACTTTTAATTTCTTGAGACGGTGTGTATTATTTACATTCCACTTTTTTTGGTCTTGTGAGTGAAAAGTACAACAGTTATCAAAATTAGAACATAATTCAATGAAGTGTGACTGACTGAGCTATGTCTGTAGGGTTTACATGTAAATTCAATGAAGTGTGACTGACTGAGCTGTCTAGGATTTACATGTAAATTTAATGAAGTGTGACTGACTGAGCTGTGTCTGTAGTGTTAACATGTGAGTTCAATGAAGTGTGACTGGATGAGTTATGTCTGTAGGATTTACATGTGAATTCAATGAAGTGTGACTGAGCTGTGTCTGTAGGGTTTACATGTGAATTCAATGAAGTGTGACTGTCTGAACTATGTTTGTAGGATCTAAATGTAAATTCAATGAAGTGTGACTTACTGAGCTATGTCTGTAGGGTTTACATGTGAATTTAATGAAGTGTGACTGACTGAGCTGTGACTGGAGTGTTAACATGTGAGTTCAATGAAGTGTGACTGGATGATTTATGTCTGTAGGGTTTACATGTGAATTCAATGAAGTGTGGCTGACTGAGTTGTGTCTGTAGGGTTTACATGTAAAGTCAATGAAGTGTGACTGACTGAGCTGTGTCTAGGGTTTACATGTAAATTTAATGAAGTGTGACTGACTGAGCTGTGACTGGAGTGTTAACATGTGAGTTCAATGAAGTGTGACTGGATGAGTTATGTCTGTAGGGTTTACATGTAAATTCAATGAAGTGTGACTGTCTGAACTATGTTTGTAGGATCTAAATGAAAATTCAATAAAGTGTGACTGACTGAGCTATGTTTGTAGGATCTAAATGTAAAGTCAATGAAGTATGACTGACTGAGCTATGTCTGTAGGGTTTACATGTAAATTCAATGAAGTGTGACTGACTGGGCTGTCTGTAGGGTTTACATGTGAATTCAATGAAGTGTGACTGACTGAATTATGTCTGTACGGTTTACATGTGAATTCAATGAAGTGTGACTGTCTGAACTATGTTTGTAGGATCTAAATGTAAATTCAATGAAGTGTGACTGACTGAGCTGTGTCTGCAGGGTTTACATGTAAATTCAATGAAGTGTGACTGTCTGAACTATGTTTGTAGGACCTAAATGTATATTCAATGAAGTATGACTGACTGAGCTATGTCTGTAGGGTTTACATGCGAATTCAATGAAGTGTGACTGACTGAGCTATGTTTGTAGGATCTAAATGTAAAGTCAATGAAGTATGACTGACTGAGCTATGTCTGTAGGGTTTACATGTAAATTCAATGAAGTGTGACTGACTGAGCTATGTTTGTAGTATCTAAATGTAAATTCAATGAAGTATGACTGACTGAGCTATTTCTGTAGGGTTTACATGTGAATTCAATGAAGTGTGGCTGACTGAGTTGTGTCTGTAGGGTTTACATGTAAAGTCAATGAAGTGTGACTAACTGAGGTGTGTCTAGGACTTACATGTGAATTCAATGAAGTGTGACTGTCTGAACTATGTTTGTAGGATCTAAATGTAAATTCAATGACGTATGACTGACTGAGCTATGTCTGTAGGGTTTACATGCGAATTCAATGAAGTGTGACTGACTGAGCTGTGTCTGCAGGGTTTACATGTAAATTCAATGAAGTGTGACTGACTGAGCTGTCTGTAGGGTTTACATGTGAATTCAATGAAGTTTGACTGAGTGGTGTCTAGGATTAACAGGATTCAAAGGAACAGACCAAGCTTGAGAAGAATATTTAATTAAAGAAACAAACAGAAGAATAATTAAAATAACACTTTATACATTTACATTGTGCAAGCCAAATGTGCATTGAAATTGCAAATCACAGAGAACGTATACAGGGTTTCAGGCAGTGTTATTTATGTAGTAGTCCTGGCATACAAAATTATTATCATGACTATGAAGTGCTATCCACAACACATCAGATGTAACAAATCATAAACCTGGTGATCTGTATTTTTGATGCCAATTTAAATATAACACTGCCTGATACACACTACCTGTACACACTACTTGTATACAAAAAGCATCTTAAAAACAAACAAACAAAACTTACATATTATTGCTACGTAAAATATGAGCTTATATTGTCCATCTTTTAAAAACAAAAACATAAATCAAATTCTGAAGTTCTAGTATATATACTGCATATAAATATCTGAACACAAAAACTATCTACTTCACATACTAATTATACATGACAATCTAGTTAAAACATTACTTCACATACTAATTATACATGACAATCTAGTAAAAACAATCTAGGAATATTGATAAAACTATCTGTTGAGACCTGTTCTAATTCCAAAGCATCCATAATGGATACCTTATTATAAAATCTTGAATGCTTAGTTAAAAGAAGGATCTACATGATGTAATATAGAAATAAGTACACAATACTGTAAGTCGAGGAACCTCCTCCACAAACACTACTGTAAGTCGAGAGGCAGTGTACTGACAGTACCATTAGTACTGATAGTACTCACAATACCAAAGGAACGACAGTGTCATGACAGTACCATTAGTACCGATAGTACCATTATGTCTGACAGTACTCACAATACCAAAGGAACGACAGTGTCATGACAGTACCATTAGTACCGATAGTACCATTATGTCTGACAGTACTCACAATACCAACAGGATGACAGTGTACTGACAGTTCCATTAGTACTGATAGTCCTCACAATACCAACAGGACGACAGTGTACTCACATCACCATTAGTACTGACAGTACCATTTGTACTGATAGTACTCACAATACCAACAGGACGACAGTGTACTTACAGTACCATTAGTACCGATAGTACTCACAATACCAACAGGACGACCGTGTACTGACAGTACCATTAGTACTGATAGTACCATTAGTACTGATAGTACTCACAATACCAACAGGATGACAGTGTACTGACAGTACCATTAGTACTGATAGTAATCACAATACCAACAGTATGACAGTGAAATGACAGTACCATTAGTACTGATAGTACTCACAATCCCAACAGTATGACAGTGTACTGACAGTACCATTAGTACTGATAGCACTCACAATACCAACAGTATTACAGTGTACTGACAGTACCTTTAGTACTGATAGTACTCACAATACCAACAGGACGACAGTGTACTGCCAGTACCATTAGTACTGATAGTACTCACAATACCAACAGGATGACAGTGTACTGACAGTACCATTAGTACTGACAGTACCATTAGTACTGATAGTACTCACAATCCCAACAGTATGACAGTGTACTGACAGTACCATTAGTACTGACAGTACCATTAGTACTGATAGTACTCATAATACCAACAGTATGACAGTGTACTGACAGTACCATTAGTACAGATAGTACTCACAATACCAACAGGATGACAGTGTACTGACAGTACCATTAGTACTGATATTACTCACAATACCAACAGGACGACCGTGTACTGATAGTACCATTAGTACTGATAGTACTGACAATACTAACAGGAGGACAGTGTACTGACAGTACCATTAGTACTGACAGTACCATTAGTACTGATAGTACTCACAATCCCAACAGTATGACAGTGTACTGACAGTACCATTAGTACTGATAGTCCTCACAATACCAACAGGACGACCGTGTACTGATAGTACCATTAGTACTGATAGTACCATTAGTACTGATAGTACTCACAATACCAACAGCATGACAGTGTACTGACAGTACCATTAGTACTGATAGCACTCACAATACCAACAGTATTACAGTGTACTGACAGTACCTTTAGTACTGATAGTACTCACAATACCAACAGGACGACAGTGTCCTGACAGTACCATTAGTACTGACAGTACCATTAGTACTGATAGTACTCATAATACCAACAGTATGACAGTGTACTGACAGTACCATTAGTACAGATAGTACTCACAATACCAACAGGATGACAGTGTACTGACAGTACCATTAGTACTGATATTACTCACAATACCAACAGGACGACCGTGTACTGATAGTACCATTAGTACTGATAGTACCATTAGTACTGATAGTACTCACAATACCAACAGCATGACAGTGTACTGACAGTACCATTAGTACTGACAGTACCATTAGTACTGATAGTACTCACAATACCAACAGGACGACTGTGTACTGTACTGATAGCACTCACAATACCAACAGTATGACAGTACCACTGCCATTACTGACAAGAGATTGTACTTTTCATGGAAATCAGTGTCCAGACAAACAAAGTTCTTATTAACCCCAAAAACGAGTGTTTAGACAAATGAAGTTCTGTTTAGCATTGGAAACAGTGTACAGGGAAACAAGGTTTTACATTTACATAGAAAATGGGGTGAGGATAATATCAAGAGTGAATACTTAAGGCACTTTAGCAATGTTGAACAATAGACATTTCTCATTATTGTGTGTAAGATATATCTACTTCTCTTGTCTTCATCTAATTAAGACTGATTTTATTCAATAATTATAAAAAGGTCCTAATTTTCTGTTCATTATATATTTAGATAAACAATTTGTGGAATACCTTTCATGAGAACAATTTTCTTCTGGATCAAAGAGAAATTAATTGTATGGAAAGTAAAGTGGTAAAGTTCCTGGAAGGTTAACCTGTGTATAGTGGGGTCTCTCCTATCCAAACATGTTATCTAAAACTGTCGTTATCCACTGGTATTAGAATTGTTTAATCTCATCAGTCAAGAACAGATATCCTACAGATAACGAGATCTAACTGCCTCTAGGTATAAACAGACACCCAGTATTCTGTACGAACACCTACTGGTACCTATCTGTATCAAAGATTGAATGGAGTATCAAATTCATTTAATAGTACTAGTTATAGAGAACATACAAGCATATATACTTGGATTGTTTTTGTTTTCATATCAGCTGTACTGAACTTAATCACATAT